CTGAAGTTCAGACACTGTCAATGAGTTCAAGGCTAGCCTGGGCTGCATGAGGAAGAAACACCACGTATGTCAAAACTAACAGCCAGACACAAGAAGGAAAACTGACAGCAGGGTAAAGTTCCACAGCTTCATTGGATCACTTTATCTTCTGACACAAGCCAGAGGATCAAGGAGAAAGAAAAGGCGTCCCTATAAGGGACAAAGTAAAAAATCAGAAATGCCACCCAGACTTCTGTGTTATGTCCAAAGACAGACAATGGGTAGTATTGTTTTTTGCTCTTCTGAGATTGGAGGCTCATGTGGTCCAGGTTGGCCTTGAACTCTTGATCTTCCTGCCTCTACCTCCCAAGTGCCTGGCTTATAGGCATGAATCACCATGCTTGTCTTGCAGTGGATGGTTCTGATTCATCCTGGCACCCCACAGTATGGGACCACAACCCCTGAACCCAGTTTGCACACTGAACTTGCTTCTATTCACCCTAAAGCCTTGCCATGCCCCACTTTACTAACCTGCAAATCGAAACATGGGTTTGCAACCACCCTGCACGTGCGCAACCCCCTACTCCAACCAGCAAGGAAGAGAACTATGGCTCTCAAAAGATGACAACCACATCAGTTTGTGGTTTAGAACTATCCCAAAGTGCACAGCACCACACCCATTTGTGAAGTTAAATTTGTTAGCTGGACTGGGAGCTGTGACTCATGCCAGCAAATTCCAGCCCTTGAGGGACTAAAACAAGAGTATAAGGCTAAAGTCTGGCTGGGGCAATGGTGGGGAAAAAAGGTAAAAACTGCCTCTTCAGCAGAGGAAACCAGTTCCAAAGGCCTCCCTATCAGGGAGCCCCTTTCAAGAGGCACAACTCCTAGCATCACCAACTATTTCTCTATCCTCCTGTCAGAGAAGTACTAGGAAGCCACACTGAAGATGCTGGGGGTGGGGGGGGGGGGAGATAAAATCAGATGTTCAAAAAACGGATTTGAGACCTCCAGCCAGTGTCAGACCAGTTGCAGTCCATCTCCAGTGCAGCCTCCCTTGATGCAGACTGGTTTCTGGTGATTCCAGAATAAAACTTCTGCTGTACTTTTCAAAGCTGTAACTGCATCTTATCACAGTATGTTCAGTAACTACAGAGACTTTTAATGTTCACTTTTTCTAACAAAAAAAATTAGAGCAGCATTTTTCCAATATACCAGAAAACAGAAACCTCCCATTCTCAGAGGTCTCGAGCTCTCACAGCCTGCTCACTCTGCACCCCTACTCGACGTCCCATTGAACACTACCCTGAGTCTATGTGAAAACGTTCCAGGTCAGCGCTGGCAAGCAAATCACAAACCGAAAGACTGTGTGAGCTGGTGGGGAACAGTGTGCAGGGAGATGTCCCAGCACTCCCAAAGCCAGAACCATGTTGGTGTAAGAATAAGTAACTGTCTTGCAGGCAGCAAACAACTCTGTCCTATTAAGCCCCTGGCCACTGAACTGGTAGGTTACCACTGCCCCTGGGAAACACGAGGTTAGGCTCCCAGGATCTTCTAATTTCACCAAACCATTACCACAGAATCTCATCTTGTGTGGTAAAGACGCATCACTTTACACTGTCGGTTCTTTCACACTCCATCTGCCTACTGCACATACTCTGACAGTAAGATACAGCTTTCTCACACTTAGGAACGTGAGCCAGCACATGAACACTATCCTTAGGGACATTTTAAATAGTGAGTGACCTCATCAGCAATAAGCATGAAAATGTAACACACATACAAAAATGTGGAACTAGAAGGCCCCCCCAAAATGACACATTCACAGCTGATTGCTAGAATGAGGCTTCGGACCTCGCTCAGCACTGGGAGGGGAAGAATGTACTGGAGAATCAAGTTTTTTTCTGCTCAGCTCAAGTCCCAGCAAGAGTGCTTTGGGTGTATAGTGGTCTCAGGGTCAAACATACATTACCAAGTAGGAAAACTTGCAAATACAGAATACACACACACACGACAGCTATAACTCATTTGGGGTTGGCAAAACTGAGAGTAAAGAAAAAGCTCTCCATCTAGTGGTAACTTTTTAAAACCACAAAGCTACTTAAACTAGTCCTTAGACAGGAAAAAAAAAAAAAAAAGACATCCATGGATGGTTACAGGGAGTCACAAAGATTATCACAGTTGTAAAGTTATGTCAAGAAACAAATTTTAGTTGTATATCTACACACACACACACACACAATGATGGTTCCTAGGGAAATACCCCAAAATGTAAGAAGGTAAAGATTTATGGTTCCCCTTGATAGACACTCCCGAAAAAAATTAAATTAGCTAACCATGATTTTGGTCCACCTGAAAATACACTGCCCAGGGCTTAGCAAAATTTCACTAAGGGTCCAAGTATTTGTGGTTGGAGATAAAGTGACAAAAAACCAACAAAACAAAATTAGCACTGCCACTGTGCTAATTCAATTTTGAAACGTCAACACAACAGTAAAATGCATCATGGGCCAAGTTGTAAAGAAACACAATGGACCCTGACTTTCTTCAGTTAAAGTCTGTCCAGCTGGTGAGAGAAGGGAATTCTGAATCTAGACCAGGTACAGCTTACGAAGCCAAGTCAGCCATGCTCTAACAAACTCCAGCTTCCCAGCAGGTGACGACCCCAGTTATCAATGCACTGAGGAACTCATTAGCCCATTCCTCAAACCTGAGAAATAAATCTTAGAAACAAAACTTGAAGTGCACAAGATAAACACATCCCTAAGTAACCAAAGGCAGATCTCATAAACCAACCTTGTACTGATAAGGAAATCAGGTTTCCTAACAGGTCTGTTTCGGCCCAGGCACACAGACAGGTCTGTCCTGTGGAGAAGACACCACGGCTTTGGACAGAATCTTCCCTCCAGGACTGGGGAGTCTTTCACACGCCCAGCAGCGTTTCAGCAAGGTTTTGAGATCCACGCATTGACAAAAGGAATTGGAATGTATTTAAAAAAAAAAAAAAAAAAAAGTATTACTTGTTCAAAACACAAATCCCAAAATTCACTTTCGTTCTTTCCCACTGAACTTTTGGGGAGGGACAGAGGAAGAAAAGGAAGAAAAACTGATTCATTTAAGAATTTAAATTATTTAATCTTTTTTATTCTGTGACCTAGTATTGAGACAGTCTGTAACAAAAGAATAGCATTTTATCAGATTAGCACACAGTATATCAGACTAATATCCAGGAAACAGCAACTGTCCCTTTGGCCATCTCCGCTTTCTCAGCAGATCTCCTAATTTCACCCATCCATCCAGAGAGAATGGTGCCTAGAGTCCACAAAGACACAGTATGCCAACCATGACTTCTGATATTTAAATCGCACAAAGATAAAGCTTTAAATGTAGCAATTTTTAAATTTAGACTTCTCTTGAAAAGTCTAAGAGTAAAAACTACAAAAGGGAGTAACCAGCAAGCTAGCATTTTGAGAACTTAGAAAGCAGGGTTTGTATCTCTGAATACAAGAACAAGGGGATATATACACATGAAAAATGCATTTTATGGCATTCTACATCATTCATTTAAGTACATTTTTGGCATTTAAACAAATAGCAAATTAAGCTTTAAGCTAGTAACATAATTTTAATTTTTTTAATATAAAAAAGATAGCCAACACAAAGTAAGTACAGAAAACCCTCACTTATAAAGATTATGGAAGTTCTAAAAATGGCAACAAGGTAGCTATCTACCGCACAGTAAAACCTACATGAAACTTCTTTCCCACATTAGTAACAACCTAAAAGCTTTTCAATCTAGAAGAAAAAGAAAAAAAGAGAAAAAAAAATCTATCATAGCCAACAATTTAAGTTAACTGGGAAAGGGTAGGAGGGGACTGTTAATCAGAACCACATGCACACACATGGAAAATGCTTGCAGTCACTCCCAAATAGAACCTGACATTGTACACAAATCACAATGGAGATAAATGTGCCTAGTTACGAACTGTGAAACTGTGTTTAAAAAATAACAGTAATAAAAATAAACTGTTGGGTTATCATTGGAATAATGTAACACGTAAGGCTGGAAAATACTGAAATACAGTTAAGACTCAAATACAAGTTTACTTTATAACACACAAACAAACAAATAAAAATCAATAAAGTTTACCAGAGAAATTCAAGGTTAGACAGGAAAAGGCAGGACTCTCAGCAGGATGGCTTTTCAGACCACAGCACGGCCACATCCCACCCACCCCCGTTACCACGGACCGGAGAGACTAACCCCAAGCGTGAAGCTTCCTGTCTCCGGACACCTGAACTCACTCCATCCACCTCCATCTCCTCCTCTCTGGGGCTTGTTCTAGCTCTGTCTAGTTCAGTAAATCCAACCTCTAGAGTCAGTAACTGAGGGTAGATCACACTAACTAATCACAGTTAACTACCAAGAGTATAGACTTCAAATTTTCACTCACAATTCTGCATCTCATCATCAGTATTTGGCACCAGCTGGATAAACAGTTATCAGAATCTGTGAGCTGAGACAGATGTAGTTAAGTCACGACCCAGTACTTGCCATCTACAACTTGATTTCAAACTTAAAAGGCAGGTATAGACAGCCAGCCACACTGGAGTATTTTAGGGTTGGAGGAGAAACACTAGCAATAGACAAAACCAGGCTTGTGGGGGGGAGGCGGCGAACTACCTGTGTCTGTCTGGTAATTAGCACAACATAGGCATTTCCCACACTTAAACTAGTTTAATTACAGGCAGATGTCTTTCTACTGTACTAGGATTTTTCTATATTCATTCTTCTAATCCTTAAAGGTTAAAATCATTTATTCTATAAAGAAATACAGCAAACATGGCCACAGTCTAAATATGTCATTTTGTCATATGGAAATGAAAATCTGTGTCACTTAACCCCCACACTATCACATCACTGTGGTAATTCACTGGTGCAGGGACTGCCCTCACCAAAAGCATGGCGCTCGCTGCCCAGGTTGAACACTAGCACTGCACAGAGAGAAGCAGTAATAGCCAAGTCCATGGAACTCTCTATTTATTTGTCAGTGAGCATTCACTTAATGCTCCAAATGAAAAATGGTGCAGTAAAGCAACTTTTAGTATAAAGAGACAAGAAGCTGTGAAGCCAGTGGCCACTTGGCGCTGCAGATAGGGAAGAGAAAGCAGTCTGCATGAGTGAAGCATGGACTGGGGAGAAGAGAGAGGCACAGGAGGCAGATCTCAGACAGACAGTGACACAAAGCTGTTGTACTGCTGGATGTTTCGCTTGAGGATATCTGAGCATGGGCCAAGGACACGTTCAAAACGAGGTCGGTCCAACTTAACGCACTTCAAAGGGCCACGCGCAACCACAGTGGCAGCCCGAGGACGATTCATCAGTAGGGCAATTTCACCTAAGGAGAGAAGACAGATGGCTAAGAAAAGACTAACATCCATGGAAGCCATTTCCTTAAAGGGTCTATGTCTGAAAAAGAGAACAAAGATTAAACTTTTCTACTAACTCAGCGATGTCACACAACATTTGTACATTAAAAAAAATGCTACCAATTAACAGAAAGTAAGCCCCACAGTCATGCCCACAATCCCAACACTCAAGCGGTGGAGGCAGACAGGAGGAAGGTGACCAGTAGTTAGAAGCAAGCTTCACTGTACGGTGAGATTCCAGGTAGTCTGGGCTACAGAATGCACAGGTGTGCGTGCATGAGTGTGTGCACGTGCGTCTATTAACTGAGTAAAGTTACATCTTACAGCAGTTCTCTAAGGATCAAAAAAAGAGTATAGGTTAAGAAATCTAGCATGCAGCATGACTACAGCCCCTACACTTAAGAGGCTAAGGCCATAGATCTGAAGAAGGCCAGCCTGCACTGTTACCACGAGGCCCAATCTCAAAAGCAATAACAAAGGCAAGATGAGATGGTATACATTTAATCCCATCACTCTAGAAATACAGGCAGGTGGATCTCTGTGAGTCTGGGGCAGGCTGGTCTACAGAGTAAGTTCCAGGCCAGACTCTGCCTCAAAAATAAATAAGTAAATGAGTGAAAATAATTCAGAAGACCAATTCTGGAAAACTACACTGTCTTGTGAAGAAATACTTAAGCCATGAGTTGTGAAAAAGTTTAACATACCAAAGTAATCCGAAGGCCCCAGTCGTCCCACTTCAACAAACTCTTCGTTTTCTGACCGACGCTGCAGGACGGCAGCTGTGCCCTGTAAACAGAAGTGAGAAGCTAAACCCATGCGTCCTCGCCCAGCAGATCTAAAGATCCTGTGCAACCGCAGCTACCTGGGTGGACCCGGCAGTTACTTCACCTTGCACCTGCTCTTCCAGTCAAAGGTGAATGAGAAGGCAAGTGACTCCCCACCCCCCAGAGTTCTGTGATTTGCATTTAACCAGCACCCTGCTATCAAGATTCTTATCAAGCTCAAGCACTTAAAAAGGAGTTTAGACTCAGGTTAGTAAAAGGCCAAGCCCAAGCTTGCTGCATCTTTTGAAAATAATATTTTATAGACCAGCACACTGAGGGTTCATGTTTCTATGGGTGTGTTTGCAGTGTGACAAGAGTTCAGCCTCTGAAGTAGCTATTTGGACCTGCTTGGCAAGCAAGGTTATAGGCAGATGTTTCACATAACACTGACTTTTAGAACTGTAAATCATTACCAAATCGCCTAAGTACTTATGTTTTAAACAATGGTTCAGAATTTGTTATGGCTGAGGGGCTTTTTAGCAGGGCAGAGTAATTTCACCAGTCATGTCTAGTTAGGGCCCTTCCAGAATTTTGACTCCAATTCTTTAAAACTGTAGCAGCCTACACATAAAGTTGTATTTTGAACTAAATGATAATTTTTAAATAAAATGTCAGGTAGCCCTAAAAACTAGGGCTACAAATTAGAATTGGCTGTGCCTCTTTAGGTGAACAACACTGTAAGGAATCAAATACCTCTAGGATAATGAAGAACTCATCCCCTGGTTCTCCTTGCACCACAATCTTTTGTCCATCTTCAAACTGGACAGGCTCCAATGCATCAGCTACTGTGAGACGCTCCCACTTGTCCAGAGACTCTGAAAAACAAGAATCAAAAGAATTTCTCTACATATTTGTTATTGCTAAAAAATAAAAAGTACAATTTAAGAAAAAAAAAAATATCTCCAGAGATGCAATCTAATAGCATTCCCACTCTGCATCTGCATCTCAAGAGAAGTCCTGCAGACGGAGCATGCTAACATCTACCTGTCTATAGCCACTGCTGGTCTCGGCAGGACTCGCCTTTCACTGTAGATAGTCCTGAGCCTCTCTTTAACTCTAGTTTGCTTTTATCAACTGAATCCAATGGCAAAGGACTAAGAAAATGCAATTCTGAACATTACCCAGAAGCAAAGCAAACCTACAAGCAAGCAAGCAACTATAACAGCTTCCCCATACACCCCACTGCAAAGGTTCAAAGAATTCATCCATGTAACCACTCAGTGGAGTTTACTTTGTGAATAACAAGGAGCTAAAAAGTAACTTTTGTTTCCAAGGACCCAACTAATATTCAAAACACTACAACAAATGACAAATAGGTGATCACTGTCAAATCACTGTAACAAAACAAGGACAGATCGTCATCTGGGAAAAATAACTACCAACACCCCATACAGGACAGGTTTTAACATCTCCCAGTACATAAGGAAATCTACAGAAGTATGTTCAATTAACCTAAATTTTGACATGTCTGGATCTTTTCAAAAGATATCTAACTTTTATGAGACAAAACCCATCAGACTCCACCCTGGAGGAGCAGGAGAAGCTGCAGTAGGACTAACTGTGAATGTCCAGAGCCTAGAGCATGTGAGCTTCCTGCTCCTGTCAAGGGGACGGGTAGCATCTACAGCATCAAAGCTTTTCCCAGTGATCACAGGGTCTGTCATATGTTAGCAAATTGAAATCACGCTAAAATTACCATTAACTCTGTCAAACTTTCAGCGCTGTCAAAATTCTGTATGATTAGCAAAAGCAAAGAACAAAAACCAAACAAACAAACAAACCACTTTGGAAACACGTATGAATGAGCTGGAAAGTTTATGTCATGTAAAAAGTTGTGCCAAATGCTTCAATTTATCAATTCTCCATAATTTTCCAAAACTCACCTAAAATAGACACTTTACTTAGGAATTCTTCATACATCTTCCTCTTTCTCAGAGTGCTTCCCTATAAACAGAAAAATGTCATGTTCAAAAGAGATGTAATTATCACACAATGTTATAGGATAATTTATATTTACATTGTAAACAAACTAAGAAGAAAAGTAAATACAAAGCTTTTGGCTGTTGCTTCTTGACTTATGGCCATTTTCTCTGACTTGTGTAGCCCTCTAAAAAGCTTTCTGTATGGGTTCTAAACAAGCAGCAGCTATGCAGCCCAGGGGAGTGCACAGTTCTAACAAGTAGTGAAATGCCAAAGAGTTCTCTAAAGAGTAAGTATGTGCCTAATGCCTAAGTGAGCACGAGGCCTGCACACCACAGCTATCTTCCCAGCCCAGAACCCCTCCTCATAGGCTGCCTGCAGGAAGAGACTACTGCCACTTACAGGTGAGAACACAGTCCCACAGCCCTAGGCTTACACAGCTGTACCATCCTGAGCACCCTAGACCTCATCTAAGACAAGTTTACTGGGGTACTTGGGAGAAAACAGGAATGTTTTATGTGCCTATGAGAAACTTTGCTCACAAGGTCAATGACCTCAGCCTTACTATATGCACCTGCATAAGTGTGAATGTACATGTGTGCTATTACACACACTGCCCTCCACAGCCACGGTTCCACATCTACTATCACTGCAGACCTAAATCTTAGGAGAAGAGAAGGACGAGGTACAGGACACTGTTGCTCAACATGCAGACTTTCTTGTCATTTTCTACAGAGTACATCAACCGCCAGTCTTTTAGATAGTGTTTACCTGGCTTTAAATATCCCAGCTAAACTACTGATGGCTTAAATCACACAGAGTATGTACACCCATTATGTGCAAACACTATGTAGTTTTAGATAAGGAACTTGAATATGCATGGGTTTTGGTGCACATAAATGATAGAAAACCAGAAGCAAAAAAAAAAAAAAACCTCAGTGGGAGATATGGATGGATGGATGGATGGATGGATGGATGGGTGGGTAGATGGGTTCACAGAGGTGGGAGAAGAACATGATGCCCTCTCCCTCAGGTCCAAGGGTATGATATTATTTTAAACAAAAATCCACAAAGACTTCAAAGTATCTAAGATGGCATATTTTAAAAGTGCGTATGTCTATGTGTAGGTCTGTGCACACAAGCACACTGTCCATTGAGTCTAGAGAAGGCATCAGATCCCCCGGAGCTTTAGTTACAGGTGGCTGTGAGCTGTCTGGTAGATAAAACTAAACCTGGACCCACTCCAAGAGCAGTACATGCTCTCAATCATTAAGCCATCTCTCTTCAGCCCCAGACTGGGTATTTTCAAAGAGCATATGGGCACCACAAAAAAACTTAAGAAAACAATTCAGGAGGCCTAGTACTATTCACCAAAACATGAGTCACATGAGTCAAAAGTCTAATCACAGCCTCTCACCATGAGGATTCTTCGGTAGCTGTCTCGGTCGATGCCCCACAGTTTCACATTTGTCTTTGCTTTGACAGTGGCTGCTCTAGGTGTTCCATAAATCAAAGCCAACTCTCCGAAGCTCCCTCCTTCCCCAACGCTGGTTGCCCATTCATTATTGACATAGACCTAAAATAGAAATCGTATCAAAAAGTGTTTGTCTAGATATATGAATATGTTAATTCTCAAACTTTCCAAAAGAAAGATTTCTGAACCTGTTTTAAACAACAGTATATATGCTACATCTGCAGAGCAGAACAAAACCCCTGACTTCTGATGAGTTACATGATCTGACAAAGGTGCCCTGTCCGGCAACGAGAAGTGTTCAGGCAGGCACTGGCATCAAGTGACACACTTACAGAGAGCGGTGCTGGGCACTTTATGTGGATTAGGTGACTGAATTTGTTAATAAGCCTATGAGACTGATGTGATTTTTGTCCTCATTTTACCGGTTTAAAAAAAAAAACCACACACACACACACACAATTTTTTAAGCTATAGTATTTCACAGCAGTGTCCTGAGCTCCACAGGATACATGTACTTTCCAGTTGCTACCCAGTGAAAGTAGTGAACATGTACAGATAGGCAAGCTACCTTTAAAAAGCTTGTATCATAAAAATACCTGGCAAATGTTGATGGAATTGACTTATTAAGGCTATACCGATCTGCCCTTGCAAACACTGTACTTACTAATTAGAAATTAAGTTAAAATCAAGATTATATTTTTGCTATTAATTCTTACATCCATTTCTCCTTGATCAATCACATAGAAGTTATCCCCTTCATCACCTGAAAAAGAGCAAAATGTCAGGCTCATTATGAAACAATCATAATTGTTTAGTTAACACAGAATAGTAAACTCATGGGTGGATGCTAAGTGAGGGAACTTAATGAAAAACAAGCAACATTTTTTTTAAAAAAGGGACATGAAATCAATCACTCCTTCTGGTCAACAAAGAGTACCTTCTAAAACTGGACTTTATTAAAGCAACTTAGGGGACCCATGAGACAGCTCAGATTGTAAAGCACCTGTTGCCACTCAGACAAGCTGAGTTTGCTCTGAGTCCCCCATGGAGGAAGGAGGAACCTATTTCCATAAGTTGTCTTCTAAGTACCACACACCAATGCTGCAGTGCACACAAGCACATGTATGTGTATTCACACATATAAACACAATAAATCAATAAAATGTAATTTTAAAAATGTTAAGCTACTTATGCATACAAAACTAACTGCTATGGAATACACAAACACAACTAAACAGTTAATAACAAAAGGCTAGGCTGCCACAAAATAGGTAAATACTTGGCTTATGAAGATCCATGAAAATGTTAAGAGAAAATATCAAATTTGAAAAAGAGAAAAATTTTTAATAGAAAAAGAGAAAATATCTAATAAATATTCTTGTTAGTCTACATGAGCAAAAAGGATTAAAATTCTGTAGGAGACACAGATCCATATAATAGATGAGCTATATGATGCAAAATGTGGGTGGTTTTGCAAAAGTGGTTATTAAATCAATAAAAAAGATGTACGAATTACTGTCCTGAAATTCTACACAATATCTAATGAAAACATAGGCATTCCCTTTATCAGTGACTATAAAAGTTGTAAGAAATATTAATCTGATAGAGAAAGTGTTCCTTTTAACTTAAGAGAAGTACTTAATGAAGAACTAGGACACAATACTAATGCCAAGCCCAGAGAGGTAAACAAGGTCCAGTAAAACGAAAACAAAAGCAACCCCCAATCCCACCCCCCTTCCTATAGTCCCAATGCACAGCAGCAGCCCTTACCTTGCTGAATAACTGTCTCTCCAGCAATAAAGGAGACTGGAAACATAGCATCAAAAATGTCACTGCAGAAGAGAAGAGGCCTGGGTTAGTCATTGCAGGTCTCTTCTACAGATTTCAAACATTAGCATTAAAGCTGTCAGGTTCTCAGATCTATATCACATGTTGAACAACTAAGAGCCTAGAACTTGCAACACTGACACAAGTTTGACACCACTACCCCATTGGGAAAACTGCACCTACCTTCTCTCATTGTCATCAAGGTGTGAAAATAACACGTTCTTTTCGATGGCTTTGGCTAAAGCAGCCATTGTCTTATAGTCTTTTGGTATAACCTAGAAAAATATTAAAGGTCAAATGACAACCTAGAAACCAAAGACACTTCATGTTTGCAATTTGCATTTCAATTAAATGCCATGCCACATAATGGTATTTTGAGTTAAATATTTTTACTACAACACACCTGTTTGATTCACAAACTACTCAACAAATACTGATTAATGCCCTTGCCTACAGCCAGGCTTACACTTAAAAGATCTGTACTTGATTCCAAGTTAACAACTAAACCAAAAACACCTACATCAAGAGGCAAACTAAGTATTTTAAAACAATTAGACACTTTATAAACTATGATCATACAGTATTGTTAAGTTTCACAAGCATCAAGCACCTGGAGCCTATATTTCTCCTAAAAGTTAAAGCCTAACTAACTAAAATGGTTGGCAGGTTCTGAGGAAGAGCTGTCCAGGATGAATGCAACTTGCAGGATAAAAGGTTAAAGCCAAAACATGAAATACAGGTGTCAAGCAAGAGACTAATAGTATGAGCTGTGAGACAAGGCAGTACTGCCTGCTTCTGCTGCAAAAGACGAGCACAAATATCAGCAATGTCTAAATGCAGTTGCTCACTGGTTTATAATCACTACTTTCCTTCTCTGTGGAGCTATTACAGCAGTCTGTTCTCAAGAGCTAACAACTGTACCTTTGTCTTTTGTTGAAACAGAGTATGTACTCATCAAAAGAACAAAGCGGACTACGAGGTGCTCAGAAACAGTTCCCACCACTCAGACATCAAGACTACCTTTCTAACATAGGACGCAGCATCTTCCTCTGTGTAAACTTCAGCACTGATAGCACCACGTCGCCGACGGCCCTTGACCACTGGGTTGGGGGGAGGAGGAGAGATCTCATCCTCCCTTGAGTCAGTACGAGTACCAGTTTTCTGTAGATTCTGAATCTGTTTTGCCTCCTCCTGAAAGAAAGGTTTTGGGTTTTTTGTTTGTTTCGTTTTGCTTTTTTGCTTACAAAAGTTGGTCCCCTCAAATTGCACTGCGCCCAGCCTCTTCCAGTACCAACACAGGAAGAAGTGAATTCCAAATAAAAGAAGGGAGTAAATGGGACAACAGCAAAATCTGAAAATAATCACTCCAGCACAGTTCCTCGGGGTGGTGCAGCATACTTTATTAGTGGCAATGCCATCAATGATTCTGAAATCAGTGACTTCTTTTTATCTACTTGGCCTCTCACTAAAAATGTTCTTAGGCCTGAAGAGAATAAAGTAAGAATGCTATCTTCAACTTCTTTGCTCACTTCAACCATTCTTTGACTCTTCCAAAATATCTTTCAAATTCAAATTAACTTAGCAGTAAGCAATTTAGAATAAAAATGCTTTTAAAAATGTTAACTACTCCTTTCTTGACGCCTACATAGCTCTAGCCTGCTTCTACCAAACAACTGGAGGACTCTAATATCTCCAGAAAAGGTGAAACTATGACGACCAAGAAGTTATAGGGCTCCTTTTTATTAGTAGTGCTATCATAACAGAGTTCTATTTCTTCCCAGGGAAGAGGTATTAACCCGGGGGGTGGGGGGGGGAGCCAAAATGAGAAAAACAAAAATAACTGTATTATCTATATGTATATTTACCAATGAGCACATTTACTCCTTGACTCAGTATTCTAGTAATTGTGCTTCTAGAAATCTAAAACAAGCTCATGTGTGAAAGGACATCTATACAGAAACAATCCTTATTAGTTTTTTTTTTTTTTTCTTTTTTCAAAATAGAACACTGAAAACAACCAAAATGAAGATCAGTGGGAACAGTTATACTGTATTTATACAACAGGGTTGTTACCCTGCATTAGAAAACACAAGCAACTGACAGGGCCCGGGAGGTATCTGTCAGTAATATGCTTGAGCAATCCTAGGCACCTGAGTTCCAAGCCCCATACCCACTTGAAACAGAGAGACACTGTAATTCCAGCCCTGGGAGAGCCAGCCTGGAAGAGCCAGGCTAAGGAGGGACCTGTCTCAAAAACACAAGTTGGATGGCTGTTAAGGAATGGACTGTCCTCTGCCATCCACACACTGCGTACTTCACATGCATATGCACACGCAAGCGCGCGTGCACACAAAACCATCCTTTCAGAAATGAATATATCTGTAAACATGCAGAACTTACACCCAGAACACTAGCTTCATGCAAAGATTGTAACAGGGTGGAAAGAACTTTCACTGTTAAACCCTTCTATAGTGGTCCAATTAGTCTGTGACTCATTTAAAACTTTGTATATTTTAGAAAATTCACTCATTTCATTCAGATAGTCCTAGTAACTGCTAAGCCCTTCCTATCCCATATTAACACAGAACTACAAAACTTAAGTCTCCCCTAAGCATTAAAAACAAAAAACAACAACAACAACAAAACTAAGCCCCTCAAACTAGTCATGTCATTTCAGAACTTTTCATTAAAAATTTCACAAATGAGCCCTGGGGAGATGGCTGCCATGTGAGCATGAGGACCTGAGTTTGGATCCCCGCACCCAGGCTTGGCACCCAGCTTACTATGGGTGCACACATCCATAAACCTTAGCACTGGGCAGGCAGAGACAGGCAGATCCCGTTAGCATTCGAACCAGCTGGTCTAGCCATCCAGCCAATCAGTGAACTCCAAGTTCAGTGAGAGATCCTGCTTCAAAAGATAAGAGAGCACCTGTTACCAATCTCTGGCCTCTACATGCATGTATTCACATTTGTACCCACTAACATACAGCACATACACAGACACTTTACGCATTGCAATGCACGCACGCATGCGCACCTCACAAATGAAGTCTCATTTAGGACTAGACTCTAGCTAACCAAATTTTAAAGATAATTGAGATAACAAAAGCATTCTGCTGTTAACAACCTGTGGATTCCAGTGAGTCTATAAAACAGCAATCTTGGTGACTCAGAGCCATCACTGAGATCATCAACTTCTAGTATGTACTATAGCATATTTTTATATCCTTAGTCTGTTACTGTCAGTCAGCTATGAGTCGCCCTCTTAGCTCTGAATCTATTTACTGGTTAGTAATTTTCCTCACTCTTTCTGCAAACGCTCTACACTAGACTGAGTTTAAACTCTTAATTCTTAGGTTCAAATTCTGTTTCTACCACTCTTTTAATATGTTTTCCAAAACATCTCTCTCCTCCCTGCCCTTGTCATTCTTCTCCATAGACAAGCTTCCTACTTGAGGCTTGGTCACATGACCTGCTTGGGCCATAGAATATATAAGTGGACAAGTCATACCATGCACGAATTGCAGTCGGCCTCTGGTGGCCTTGGATTTCTGTTCTTTCTCTGACTTGAGATCAACAAGCCCTCGGTAATGGCTGTTCTTTGTACTCAGACCCAGAACAAGATACACCAAGTGAAGACAAGTAGGCATATTGTTGGGGGAAGGTTTTGTGCACTGTGCATTCAAATACTGATTTCTGCATCCAGAGATCTGATGGCAGTTTGGACGTTGGCACTGACATTTCTATGAAGCATCTCCTGTCTCAATGTTGCATGAAAATTGTTCTCCATAACCTCTAATTGGTTAACAGCTGAACAACCTATAGCTGGGCAGGAGAGTTTAAGACGGGATTTTTGATCCTAGGAGGGGATCCCAGGTAGAGTGAGAAGGTCACCATGAAGGGAGTTTCCAAGAGGACAGATGAAGCAGGAGCTGCCAGGGAGAGACTAAGATGGCAGGTAGCAGGGCACATGGCTGGGAAGTAGGCCAGGTCAGCATAGTCAGGTTAGAATAGATGAATACCTGCCCAGCTACAGTGCTTAAAGCTTATGAACAAATGTAACAGGTATCCATGTCATTATTTGAGAACTAGAGTGGGTGTAGAAAAACCCAGTTTTACATTTGGAGTCCAACACAGGGCTCGAAGCCACAACCCTGAGATTAGAGTCTTGTGCTTTACCGACTAAGGCACTAAAATTCTAGTATTACATATTGTGGCTGCCTAGCTAACTCCCAGTATCACAGCTATGATTTAAGTTCCCTTAGACCCAACTACTGCCTCAGCAAAGTGGTATGAATACCCTGCTATTGGGGAAGAGGGAGACTGTGTGTGCATGTAGCACTTCACTAAGAATCTGGAGACACAGGAGACACTCAAAAGTAGTAGATTCAACTCCTCGTATCAAGACAGGCAAGGTTCTAATAAACACAGGCATAAGAGCGCTCAAGCTCCAGGCACAAAGGTCTGAACTAAAATGCAACTGTCTCCATTGACCAACTCTGACTATTCTGTGTATTTCTTCTGAAGCCACTGAAGGTCCCAGAAACATAACTCCTGGAAAATGGGGAAACAGATGGTAAAAATGTTGAGTTTACTTGCAGACATCAAAATTAACACGATATATGAAATGATGGCTTTGGTAAAGGCCAAAAATCTAGTTAATTGAAAATTCAAGTGGAATATTGTATGTATTCAACTCTGGCAAGCCAACAAAAACCTCAATGTACGAGAACGGCATTCTTTATTATGTAACTTTTACTGGGGGACGAGGGGAAGGTCCATGCATATTAATTCTAAAATCCCACCTACAGAGAAACTACAGTAACGATTATTTGTTGCTTTCTACCTTGGTTAGTCATTAAACACTGCTATGATAATTACAGGCTTTGAAATTAGTGTCACACACTCAACACTCCCTATAAAAAGATAGGCACTTAATGTCTCACCAACTTAATCCTCTCATTTGATTTCTACAGATGTCTGAAGAAGAGGGATCACCTTACCGTGACCCATTTCAGAACCAGATCTCCAGGAACATGCTTGATTTCAAAACAGAGCACACTCCTGGCCAGTATGTCCATTATTTAGTGATTGCTTAAGTAAGAGAAAGCCAGCATTCTACTAACAAGTCCAAGCTGGTAAGGCTGTATTCAGAGGGACTATTTAGTAGTCATCCTTTCCTCAGTTAGTCTAATCATTCTAATCAATAGCATTTTTAAAAACTTTCCAAGGAAATAGTATAAAATAATACCTGCCTCCTGAGCTACTCAAATACTTCTTTAAAATCTTCATATACATATTCTTTTACATAAAAACTTGGACAGTAGGAAACTACCCAAACCAATGTGAATACAGCAGATATTTCTACTGTACAACTAGGTATTAAACATGAATCAAGAGAAATGAGCCCCAGTGTTCTGAACCTCTTCAAAACTTGAACATTCACAGCAAAGTCATACATTCACACAGTGATTCACAGGAGCAAATCAAATCAACTGTTTAAAACACTGAGCGATCCAAAGTGTTGCAGTCATTTCTCGAGGGAAGTGCAGCAAAGCATCCTCTTACATACAACACTGTAGTTCTGCTTAGAAATGAACATCCTGGAGGCTGGAATGAAGGCTCCATAATCAAGAACACTTGATGCTCTTACAGAGGACTCGGGTTCAGTTCCCAGAACCCACATGGTGACTCACAGCCATCCGTAACTCTAGCTCTAAGGGATCCAACACCCTCTTCTGACCTCAGTGGGCACTAGGTAAGCATGTGGTATACATACATCCATGCAGACAAAACACTCATACACATAAAAATAAGCAAATCTTAAAAAAAGAAAAGGGAAGAGATGCATATCCTATGTGCCTGTTGGTCACACTTGACCCACACAAATCACAGATGCAACAACAAAGAATAAAAACCAAACCAAAGATTTTATGGGAAACAAGTCCTAACCAAAAGTATAAGCACAGTAAAAATGTGCTAACCATCAATCTCCCATCTTCTTCTCCTACAGTTAACTCAGACGTCTATCTCACAGTAAAACAAGAGTTTAGAACTTATTTAGCTTATACATCTCAAGCTGGATGCAGATGTATTTCTACAGTTTCAAGGTGAGATAAACTACGGCACACCTGCTCCTGAAGAAAAGCACTAACTGCTTTAACCATTTCTCAAATCAAACAACTGTCCCGCTACTTTTGATTGATTTTCCCTGTTAGTCTATTTTAAATATTAATTAAAATAGTTAAAACCAACTGTTTGGAAACCCTATTAGCCAAACAAACAGCATCAGCTTAATTTCTAAATTCTGATTAAAATTACTACAGAAAAATCCTTCACTGAATGATAAATTTGCATTTCTGGTAATCTTCTTATTTGGTCGGAATTCCTGTTCTCCAACAGGCATAAATCAGCTGGGTTCAGCAGCACAAAGCCTAACAACCGTCATGGTCATCGCATGTCTCCCTCATTTATTTTTACCTTCTCCAGCCTCTCAAAGTATTCCCGAAGGAATGCCATGGGTCTCTCGGGTCGAGCCGTGCACAACTGCACGATAGAGTCCTTCAGCAGGGCCTGAATGTTGTGCTTCTGCACATAGAGCTCGCATTCCCGGAGACTCCGCTCTTCCTCACTGGTGGCATTACTACCAGACGCCATGGTTCTCTGGGAGAAAAAGCAGAGGTAAACTGGGTAAACTATAAAGCACAAAAGCAAATCTGGTCTGTAACTTATTTAAATTCACCCAGCAACAGAATCATGTAATTCTTTTCCTTACTCAACAGAGTTTGTTTAAAGAGTTTGTGGGGGCTGGGATATAAAATAATGTACAGAATTTGAATTCTTCCACATAAGCATTTCATTTAGTTTCTACTGTTCTATCTTAGCTCAGCAGGCACTCAGAGAAGACCCTTAGCTCCTGGGAGGAAGTATGAGCCAGTATGCCCTGCTGAGCAAGCAAGGCAGGAATGAAGGCTCTGGCCCTTAAGGGAAATTTCATTCAATCCTCTTGCAAAAGACATCATGATGATGATGTGGGAAGTGTGTAAATGGTAAACAGGACGGAGAATTACAAGGGCACACAGGTCGGCTCTAAGTGAAAGCACAGAACACAAGGAAGAACATCTGACGCTCCCCTGTGTGCACCTCCTATCCCACGAGCAAAAGCTAATGTCACACAGCAAACCGCCAGGGCAAAGCAGTTGATTAGCCAAGTATTAGTGGAATCAAATTTTCTGAATCAAAAGGAGCCTCAGATGCCTTTTCTCAGCAATCTTTCATTCCATTATCTTTTTTTAAACTCCAGCCCTAGATGAAGCAATACAATTACCAGTGGAAGGAGCTGAAAGGGCTGTAGAACAGGAAAATAATCTCTATCAAGCAAACTATGAATGTCTTCATCTGCACAGGAACACGTTAAAAAACACTGGTTTAAAGCTTGAAGGATGACTCAATAGATAAAACTGCACTTCAACTACATTAATGTGAAACAGAAACAGCCAACCCGCCACAGAATTAAAAGCTTGGTGCTTTAACAGTCATTCCGTTTTCCTCCTATTCCTAATTACTAAGCACTTGAGATTAGAAGATGACTCCCTCGCCACTCTGCAAACCAATTTAACACTAACCACTCTTAAATTACAAGGCGCCCAGACTCACTGAGGTAAAACTGTGAATTTAAAAGAAACGACAGGATAAAGAGCCACTTGAAAGTGTTACATTGTTATCATTTTGTTTTGACAACTTCCAAGATAAAGGTCAATAGCAATCAACAGAGCAGGAGAAAGTTGGTGGCTCCATGACAAGTACAAAAACTAGAAACTACAAGGAGAGACATAAGAGATGGTAGTTCAGAATAAATACTAAAGGGAAGATGTATACTGTAAGCTAACATTTGCTCTAGCATGCTTCCTGGTCAGACAACTCTATGAAACAAAGAATCCACTTCTGTGGAATTTTCTCTATTTCAAATACTGCAGGCCACCAGGAACACAGATAAAAGAAATCTTTTACGCACTAAGGCATCCAGTCTTATTTCAAGAATGTCAGAACCTGTATTTAACTGATCAGAGAAATGGGTCTAGGATCTGGTCTTTGGCTGATAGATGACTCAACGGGGCTTAGTAAGTGGAAAACGGTCTATGCATTACAAAGACCAGAAAGGTAAAGACAGTACAAACACTACCCTAAATTACTTCAGTCACCATGTGAAACCCCAAATAATCTAATTTTGTGGCCTTAATATTTTTAATCAGGCATTTCTTGATTCCACATTTGTACTTCTTTTTAAACCCCAACAACTTAGCTTCCCTCCAAAACAAATACTTTAAAACGTCACTGCATTGTCTATTCATAAGAGGACAGATTCTTGAGGATATTTGGTTCTGATAAAACTCTCGATTTCCGAAGAGCTACACTGGAGCACCTATTTGAAACGCTCTGAGTGCCTGTTGCTGATAACGGCCCACATCTCCTTTAGGATGCCAAGTAACACTAAACAGGGCCTTGGGGGGGGGGGGGGGGGGCACTGTCAACTGCGAGCTTTCATTTGTCTGCTCAAGAAACCGATCTATCGTGGCACCCTCAAGTCACTGACTGGCACCACACCCGCACTGAGCTGGAGGGGTTAAACAGGCGGGAGGGCAGGAAAGTGCCCTTCATATCAGTTAGGCCACGGTCATGACCACTGGGTGCAGAAGGACTACCCCTCATCCCCCACCGGGCGGGAGGCCTCAGATGTTGAGCAGGAGGCCAGGGAAGGCTGGGGTGGGCGGTGGGGGATGGAAACCGGGAAAGGACTAGAAGGGTAGGGGGGACAAAGGGAAATGGATCTAGACCGAAATCACCGACTGGAGGGGTGGAGGGAGACGAGCCCGCGAAGGCGAGGAGAGCCAAGTGCAGAAACGACCAGGTGGAGATGAAGACTAGAGCCGAGTGTCAAGACCAGACAGAAGAGCCATGTCGGATTCCGGTTGGAAAAACAAATAATAATAATCGAGCTGTTGTCCTTCAGGAAGTGGGGGAGGGAGGACGGGCGCGGAAGCCGCGGCGCGCGGGGGCGGAGGCGGTCGGGGAACCGAGAGGCCGAGGGCCGCGCAGGCCCGGGTACCGAGGAACACTAAGGCCGGGGGCGGAACGGCGGTGGGAACGGGCCGAGGGCCCGGTGGCGAAGGGGTGCAGGGCGGCCCGGGGGGAGCGAGGCCTGCGCGAGCACCGCGGCCGCCTCGGAGGCGCAGGGGGTGCGGCCGTCCCCCCGCAGCGCGCTCCCCGGGGCGCCATCTTGGCTCGCTCCTGCGCCTTCAGGAACGCGCGGCGGCGCTCCCGGGCCAGGCCACGGGCCCGCACTCACCTGCGGACGGGCGGCGGCGCGGGTAGGACTTGGACAGGGCGAGGCTGCCAGGGTACCGGGCGTCCTCGCGGCTCAGCTCGCAGCCTCACTCCACTCCGCGATAGCGGCTCCGCGGCAGCTCCACCGGAAACGAGCCGACCGCAGCCAATCAGCGCTCGGCTGCTGACGTCAATGCGCCTCGCTCTGGCCAGAGCGGTTGCCTTGGCAACCTTAAAGGTGCAGACGCCTGGCTGCCTCCTCCCTCTACCCTTAAGCGGTCGACGTCTAGCTAGAGTGGTTCTCGTGCCCAGCATCTATCCATCTTATCTTGTGGAGAATGCCCAGCCCGTTCCTCGCTCCCATCTTTTTCTTCTATTCCCGCTAACCTGTTTTCTGTCTCCTTTTTTTTTTTTAGCTTGCCCCTTCCTTACCAGATGTAGGGGTCCTCTAGATTGTTCCGTTGTTCAGAGATCTCGGCCTCTCTCTTCTTGAGTTCTACTCAGGCTCTCACGTCTGCCTCCCTCCACGCCTCTGCTTTTTCTCCCTCCCTTCAACCCCTCCTCCGGCCCACGTGGGGCGTTTCAGTGACAGGTGGACCACTCTGCCTTGGGTCCTTGGGGGGAGGAGGGGTTACATGACCCTGGGCGGGCGAGGAGATTCCTGCTGTTTTCCAGGCTCTGGAAGAGTAAGAGACCCTAGCGGATCTGCCATAGCTGAGCCCAAGCGGATGCTGGGATGCTCCTGATGGACAAAGTGCTCATCCTGTGTAGGCCCCGCGATACCCGGAGCTCTGGACTGTCATCCGGTCCAAGAAATCTGAGCCCTCATCAGGCCTCTGTTTGGCAAATCTGACCGCTGTCTCCTAGAGTGAGCTGCCATCAGTGGAGGCCATACCGTGCCTACAGAGGCACAAGACATAGGAAAAGACTTACAAGAGGAGACCCCGTCCTCATAATGCCCTTTCGTTCTATCATGCTGTAGTGTGTGGTGGAAAGTCATTGACCTCACAGGAAACCTCAGTTTGCAGGAAAAAGTAGGAGAATTTTGGAGAAAAAGATGACCTCGTTATTCCTTCAGCCAACTTTACCCCATAAATATCTGAAAATGAAAGCAGGGGAGACAACTTTAGACATAGGAAGTTAAATGAATAGAGTGGGCCTAAATAAATACATAAATAAATTAGCCACTTGCTTTTGTATGGGTCTGAGTGGCCGCAACTTTTTAACAGCCTTGTCATGTATGTTCTAGGGTAGTGTGTGTAGAAAATATCATGGATTTCAGACTTACTACCAAAAGAAAGGCTACAATATCTCCTGCATAATTTTCATATTGATCTCTGGTTAAGATACGAGGGTTAAATGGTATTTTTAAACTTCACCTTTTCAAGCTCGTCTTCATCCTTGAATACCCCAGACTACGATAAGGGCTCTGAATATTAGTTATGATTAACTGCTGGTAGTCGGAGGAAAGAAGGGGGAATAGAAGAAGGAAGTTCCTCCCTTTGCTACCTCCCCACCCCCCAGCATGTTGACTATTGGCTTTTTTTTTTTTCCAGAGATGAGTGGAATGTAGGATTAAAGACTTGGTCATATAGGATTTCACCCTCCCCAGTACAAAGAAAGGCTGATAAATGCAACCCTAAGCTGGCAAACAGGAGAGGAAATTTGATAGCACTCAGCATGCCTGGTCCTGCTCTGAGGAAAGGAAAAACAAAACAAGACAAAAAAACACTGAAGATAAATCTGAGTTTGTTTTCAGGCTCTGCCATCTCGGGTGATGGACTTAATCTCCTTGAGCCTTATCTTCCTCCATCTCCAAAGGATAAACGAGACTGTATTAATATTGACTAATAAAAACAAAAGTGTGTATAGCACCTACCACGTTTGGAAACTGTCCTAGGTGCTTCAGACATACTCATAATCATTCTATGATGTAATCATTCCAAAAGGCCATGACACCAGAAGCTAAGTGACTACAGCTAGTGTGGTTCAAACCCAGGCAGTGATCATAGATCACTCTCCTTTGCAGCATGCAACACACACACATACACACTGCCCCATACAATGTGGGAAACATTAAATGAGAGTTTTCTTCTTCTTTCTCTTCCTTCCTGAACTGCAAGATTAAGTGTGAGCGGTTTTGTGTCTAAGCAGTAGCGTTACCTTCCTAAGGCAGTTAAGCCACGTTAGAAGAAGGAGAGAAGCAAGCTGCTGACATTGAGCCCGATGTTTGGAGTGACAGCTGCTTCCTTGCTAAGACCTGGCCAAGCATCCCCATTCAGCGGCACGCGGGCGTCCGTCCAGCCACCACCATTTCCTGTGTCGGTCACACTCAGCCTTGTTCTAGCTGCCAGATTCTCATATGCCAGGGCTTTAGAAGACAAAAAGGGAAATGGGCAGTAGATAGCTGAGCCTGGGAGGGTTCACTGAGACAGCTGTTGTGAAAACCCAACAGCCTCCGGGCTTTCCAGAGGGCGCAAATGTGATTGCAATGCCACTGGGCCCCTCTGAGAATGCCAACTTGTCAATTACATGGCATAAATAACACTGGTTTGACCATGGCATCTTCAAAATTTCCCCTCCCCAGAGACCCTCTGCCCTAGACTCAAAGGTCTGTCATTTTTTTTTCTTTCAGTGTGTGCCCTTAAGAAATTTACATTTCTAGGAAGTAAGTTTGTAAGTAAATTTTATTCTTCAAAATAGAATCCCATAATTGCTATCACAATGTTTGTGAAACAATAGCAAAAATAGTGTTGGTTTTTTTTTTTAAACTGGGACATAAGAAGCAAAAGCAGAAGAAAACGATAGCATAAAAGGAATATGGTAACCTAGAGGGATGGCTCCGTGGTTAAAATCACCTGCTGCTCTTGTAGATCTTCAGTCACTTCCCAGAGCTCACATACCAGCTCAAAATCTCCTATAACTCCAGTTCCTGGGGACCTGATACCTCTTTTCTAGTCGCCTCAGGCAAGAGGCATCTATGGGAGAACACCAAGCATGCACACTTTATGCATTCAAACCTACAGGTACTCAGACTGGGCGTGGTGAGGGCACGCCTTTAATCCCAGCACTCAGGGAGGCAGAGCCAGCCTGATCTACGGAGCCAGTCCAGCTACACAGAGTGACCAAAACCCAAACCAAAACAACAACAAAAAACATACAAGTACTCACACATGAAGCTAAATAAAAATAAGTCTTTTTCTTATTTTAAGGACTATGGAGGTCGGGGTGGGGGGAGATGGCTCAGTGGGTAAAGTGCCTCAGGAGAGTGAAGATCAGAACATTTTAGCCTCTGCACTCATTTAGATGCTGGGTTGGCTTCATAGGACACTTCTAACTCTGCTCAGGGAAGCAGAGACAGGAGCCCCATCCCTGGAACAAGCTGACTAGCTGGACTAGTTGAATGAGTAAGTTCTGAGATCAAACAAGAGACCCTCAGACCATTAGGTAGAGAGGGGCTGAGAAAGACACCCACACCAGCCACACACACCACAAACTTTTTTGAAAGAATTACTCTGGGGGCTCATTTTTTAGTGTTTCTTATGCCTAAAGTTCCTGTTGGCTAAACGCAGATCCACAGATTCCCAATTTCCCAGGAAAACTTTACAGCTAATTGCCACCTAGTTGGGGTATGCACTGGTCTGTGTATTCATGCTTCCTAGGGGACCTAAAGTTATAGTTCTGAATAAAACCCAGTTCCAGCACACATCAAAATGTCAAAGGTTGTCCTATTTTTCCCCCAATGGAAAGTGAGCTGAACCAAAGAGGGATGTTTATCTTGCCCGTGTACTGAAACACTTTAAAAAAGGAGAGCAATCTCGTGTCTCACCCTAACGAATGAGTTCCAACTAAAACTATCTTTACTCCAAACATACTTTCATCCAAAATAGCATATTGAACTCTACATGCTCAGTGACAAGAAGGAATTATGTTAGCAAGAGTTCACCAGAGAACCCTTAGAACCCATAGGATGTATATACAGAGAGAGATTTTTTTTTTAAGGAATTGGCTCACACAACTGTGGGAGCTGGTAATTCGCAAAGCTACAAGGCAGGTGCAAGACTGTCCAACAGGCTAGACCCAAGCAAGAGCTGATCCTGAAGTCTGACGTCCCAGGCAGACCACCTTCCTCAGTCTTGTAAGACCTTCAGTAAAGTAAAGTAGGTCAAGGCACGTCTGTGTTATGAGGGGCGGGGAATCTGCTTTATGTAAAGTCCGTGGTTTGAATGCTTATAATATCTTCAAAGAAAATGTCACAGCGTAACCTAGACCACAGGTTCTCAGCATGTGGGTCGCGAGCCCTTCGAGGGGTTGAACAACTGTTTCACAGGAGTCATACACCAAGCTGGTACTGACCTAGAAGCTTCATCCCTACTGGCTAGTTTGCATAGTGCTAGAAGGTGCTATGCACATTTCTGGGGGGGAAAGGCAATCAACAGTCTTACCCAGATGCGAATCCAGTGAAGTACTCTGAACTAACAGCTGACCTGGCAAGATATACTGACTTGGGCAATAGCGGCATGGCTGTCACAGGAGTAACTAACCATTGTCCAGTCAGATTTAAGGCCCATCCGCAGAATGGGAGTCATGCCTAATATTGTTAACTGGGCTAAGAACCTGTGGCTGACTAGCTCATAAGCCCTGAGCTTATTATTATTGTTTTAGTTTATTATGCTAAATGAACATTGCATCAAACTGCTCCTTGGGTACTTTATACTCATAGGTGAGTGCATTTATCAATGTTCAGAGAAGCTTAAACACCTTTGTTAGTCTGCACGATGGTCGTGGATAAGCCTTAATAAGGAGCTCTGAACACTGCTCACCGTGGAGGGATCTTGGCTTGCACACTTGTATTTGCCCTTGGATTTGGATCTCAGATAGAACTTTCTCATACTTTGTTGTGGCATGGCTTTAACCACTTGTTCCCCCTCCCCTGTCTCTCTCTTTTACACACACACACACACACACACACACACACACACACACACACAGGCGGGGTTGTCCCCACTCTCTGCATTGGCGGGTGGCTTCCTAGCCATGACTAAGGTTTTCACAGACCCTTTATTTCCTCCAGAGAAGGTGATGCAGTGTTTTCCTGCTCTTCACCATTTTCCCACCACTCATTAATAGTTCCAGTTTGCTCTTCAGCCCTGGTTGGAAATATGAGGGGTC